ATTAACCCCCGAACTCAGGAAAAAGCTTATTCAATTTCTTATTGATAACATAGATTATTTTGCATGGTCCCATTTAGACATGACATGGATTCCACCGGAGGTAACGACACATCGGCTAAGCCTGGACCCTAGATTCAAACCAGTGAAGCAAAAGAGAAGACCCCTGTCCGAAGTAAAGCACGCATTCATAAAGGACGAGGTAACTAAACTTCTCAAAATAGGATCCATTCGGGAGGTGAAATATCCCGAATGGTTAGCCAATGTAGTTGTAGTCCCTCAAAAAGGGGATAAACTTAGAATGTGTATAAATTATAAGGATTTAAACAAGGCGTGCCCCAAAGATTCTTTTCCACTGCCTAACATCGATCACATGATCGATGCCACGGCCGGCCACGAGATCCTTACTTTTCTCGATGCCTATTCCGAGTACAATCAAATCCAAATGAACCCGGAAGACCAAGAAAATACTTCATTTATCACCAAGTATGGAACATATTGTTATAATATAATGCCCTTCGGGCTAAAAAATGCAGGAGCTATTTACCAACGCATAGTGAATAAAATGTTTGAAGAACAAATAGGTAAATCAATGGAGGTTTATATTGATGACATGCTAGTTAAGTCCCTGCGCAGAGGACCATTTGGATCATATGTAGGAAACGTTCGAGATTTTAAGGAAATACAACATGAAGCTCAACCCCGAGAAATGTGATTTCGGGGTTGGTTCAGGCAAGTTCCTTGGCTTAATGGTATCGAATCGGGGAATCGAGATCAACCCCGATAAAATCAAGGCCATCGAAGACATCACCATCGTGGATAGTGTAAAAGCCGTACAGAGGCTAACTGGGCGGATAGTTGCCTTAGGCTGATTCATTTTGAGGTCATCGGATCGAAGCCACATATTTTTCTCTTTACTCAAAAAAAAGAATGATTTCGCCTTGACCCAGGAATGCCAACAGGCATTGAAAGAGTTGAAGCGATACCTATCGAGCCCACCACTGCTTCACACTCCAAAGGCAGATGAGAAGCTTTACTTATACTTGGCAGTATCAGAAATTACGGTAAGTGGTGTCCTAGTTCAAGAATAGCAAGGTACGCAATTTCCTGTTTATTATGTAAGTCGAACCTTAGAAGAAACAGAAACTAGATATCCACACTTAGAAAAATTAGCACTTGCACTGATAAGCGCCTCTAGAAAGTTAAGACCATACTTTCAATGTCACCCAGTATGCGTATTAACCACTTACCCACTCCCTAATATTTTGCACAAGCCCGAACTGTCGGGCCGATTGGCCAAATGGGCCGTCGAACTCAGTGGGTACGACATCAAATATCAATCTCGGACGACCATCAAGTCTCAAATTTTAGCGGACTTCGTGGCCGATTTCACGTCAACCCTCGTACCCGAAGTTGAAAAGGAACTCTTGTTAAAATCGGGTACGTCATCGGGGGTATGGACCCTTTTCACAGACGGTGCTTCAAATATGAAAGGATCCGGGCTAGGCATCATTTTGAAGCCACCCACGGGTTGCACTATTAGGCAATATATCAAAACTTCTAGGTTGACTAACAATAGGGCCGAGTACGAGGCCATGATTGCAGGTCTCGAGCTAGCTAAAAGCTTGGGGGTAGAAGTCATTGAAGCCAAGTATGACTCTTTACTGGTGGTAAACCAAGTAAACAAAACCTTCGAAGTTCGAGAGGATAGAATGCAAAGGTATTTGGACAAGTTGCAGGTAACTTTGTACCGTTTCAAGGATTGGACTTTACAACATGTACCTCGAGAACAAAACGGTGAGGCCGATGCAGGGGTCATCGGTCGAGGAAGATGAGATCAACTCGGGGACTGTTGTTCAACTCTCAAAATCTATGATCGAGGAAGGTCATGCCGAGATAAACTCTACAAGCTTAACCTGGGATTGGAGGAATAAATATATTGAATACTTGAAGAATGGAAAGCTCTCATCGGACCCTAAAGAGTCGAGAACCATACGAACCAAAGCTGCTCGATTCACATTGGCCGAAGATGGAACATTGTACAGAAGAACATTTGATGGACCATTGGCAGTGTGCTTAGGACCAGGAGGCACCGATTATGTTTTACGAGAGGTCCATGAAGGCACTTGTGGGAACTACTCCGGCGCCGAATCACTGATTCACAAAATCATTAGAGCAGGATACTACTGGGATAAAATGGAAAAATATACTAAGGAGTTTGTTAGAAAATGTGATAAATGTCAAAAGTTTGCACCGATGATCCATCAGCCTGGAGTACAACTTCATTCAGTCCTATCCTCATGGCCATTCATGAAATGGGGATGGATATCGTCGGCTCTCTTCCATCGGCCCCAGGTAAAGCTAAGTTCATTTTATTTATGACTGACTATTTTTCTAAATGGGTTGAAGCACAGGCGTTCGAGAAAGTGAGAGAAAAAAGAGGTTATAGACTTCATTTGGGATCACATCGTGTGTCGATTTGGGATACCCGCAAAAATAGTATGCGATAATGGTAAAAAAATTTATCGGTAGTAAAGTGACGAAATTTCTCGAAGACCATAAAATAAAAAGGATATTGTCAACACCGTATCACCCTAATGGAACGGATAGGACGAATCGACGAACAAGACTATCATCCAAAACCTGAAGAAAAGGTTGAACGAAGCTAAAGGGAAGTGGAGAGAAATTCTACCCGAAGTCCTTTAGGCATATCGAACAACACCGAAGTCCAGTACAGGGGCAACTCCGTTTTTCTTAGTATATGGCTCCGAAGCTTTGATTCCAATCGAAGTCGAAGAACCCAGCGCTAGGTTTCGACATGCAACGGAGGAATCAAACCATGAGGCGATTAATACTAGCCTGGAATTATTAGATGAAAAACGAGAAGCGGCACTCGTTCGAATGGCTACACAAAAGCAACGAATCGAAAGGTACTACAATAGAAGAACCAACCTTCGCCACTTCAGAGTCGGGGACTTAGTCCTAAGGAAGGTCACCATCAACACTCTAGATCCTAATGAAGGGAAGCTCGGCCCGAATTGGGAAGGACCTTATCAAGTCCTCGATATAGTCGGAAAAAGGGTCTTATAATCTCGGAACGATAGACGACGAACCACTGTCAAGCAACTGGAACATGTCACTTCTCAAATGATAGTATTGTTAAGGTATCACTTTCCCCCTTCTTTCGTTTATATATATATTCGACGCTAACTCATTGCAGGAGTTCGACCAAAGACATCGAGACCTCGGGTTTTAAAGTATGCGTTGCACTCTTTTTCCCTTAGATCGGTTTTTATCCCAAATGGGTTTTTCCGGTGAGGTTAACGAGGAAACAATTATGTGCTACCTGAGGACAATTCAACAGTATCCAAGGCTTCTTTGCAATCAACCTCGAATACTGGCGGGCATCACCCTCGGATGTTGTATTCTCGAGAATAGTACTTCATGTCAAAGGGCCTCGATAGGGAAGCTTTGTAATGGGCCAAACGGTTAAGTGAACCGTGTCCATATAAATTAGTCGAGCCCCGATGGCAACACATGTGCGCATGTATAAACTATTCAAAGAAGCATTCTCTCTTTATTTAAACATTTTGTGTCTCGAATAACATCCTCTACTATACAAACCTCATGCTTATGATATTATAAGAAATGGCTCAGGAGTCAAAGTGCAAATATACACTCGGGGACTACCATCGATGATAGGCATATTCGAGTTATCTAAACTCAAATTCATAAGACCTCAAAGAGGCACCCCTCGATCTATAGGCCAAGGCCACCAGTCTCGGGGACTGACATTTAAAACTACTTTGAAATGTTATTAGGAAATAAGCCCAAGAGGCATACCCGAAGGATACGGCCAAACTAAAGGCTACGGCCTAAATAACGCGGCTCAGAGACGTCCGAATTTCGCAATAACAATAGGCCTTCAAATTCTCTGAAAAACAGTTTAAAAAAGGCTACCCTCGGCAAATAATCAAAAGGGCTTCGATAAAATCAACCTTCAAAAAACCTTAAGAGGTATCAAATTATCTTTAACACAAACGTGCTAAGGCACAAAAAGAAAAAGGGTTTCAACCGACATCGGACCCTCAAAAAACCCAATGGGTAAAAAACAAAATACATGCTAAGGCATAAAGAAAATTTTACTAAGTCTTTTAAGCCGAAATGGGGAAATAATAACAGTCTTTTAGAGGCCATATGGGCCCAACCTAAAAGGTCCTAAGGGCCAATACATTTAGAGTTCGAGACTTTGTTCTCACTCAACTCGGACCTAAGGGTTCCACTATTTCGAGTTCAAATAAACTTAACTTGAATTTAGCTCAAGGATCCGCCATAAAACCTTAAGGGATATGTTACTATAAGTTCAAAAATTACCCATTATTTGATAAAAAACCTAAGGGTTTGCTCTATTCTAAGTTTGAAACATACTCGAACTTAGTTATAAAAACAGTGCAGTCATGCCAATCGATCAAGCCATCTGAAATCTCGAACATATTATTGAGCTCGGGGACTCGCCCTTGCGCGTCAAAAAAACCTAAGGGTTTATTCTAAAGTTCGAATTAGTGTTCACTCGATTACAGAGGCTGCAACAACAAATTTTCACAAGGCAAAAGCACAAAACACGTTTGAACATAAAACCGAGAAGACATCCAAAAGAAGTTTTTCTATTATATATTGGTAAAAATGATTATGTACAAAAGACCGATCAAGGTCTTACAAAAAGAGAAATTAAGCCCTAACTATGGCCGGTTTCGACCTCTTATACGGGAGCAACTTCCCCTTCAGGCCCCTCATCGGATCCGCCTCGACTGTCTTCTTCATCATCGTCTTCATCATCGAAGGAGGCAAGCTGCTTGGCTTCATCTTCAAGCACCTTGGCTCGGGCTATCTACTCGGAGAGGTCAAAACCTCGAGTATAGATTTCCTCGAGGGTTTCCCTCCGGGATTAACACTTTGCCGAGTCAATGATCCATCGCTCTCGGTCAGAAGCCTCCCTTAGCTGAATTTGAGCAGCCTCAACATCGGCCCGGTACATGGCAATGGACTTGTCCGCCATGACCTTTGTCTTCTCGATCTCCGCCTTGGCCTCAGCAAGCCCGGTTTCAAGCTCCTCGATTCTCTTGGCTTGGGCTGAACTTTTCTCTTTGACGCCCCGAAGTTGAACCTCGGACGATAAAAGTTTGGCCAAGGTAATTTCTTTTTCCGCAGCCAGGCGGTCCATATTTTCCTTCCACCGATCACAATCGGCCTTTAGCTGATCGACTTCTCCCCGAAATAGCACGATGCTTTCAACCTTTTGCTGCAGCTGAGATAATGAAGTATTAGCCTTCACAGTTGGGTCGATTCCGTACTTTATCAAAAGGACGCTCACCTGCTTATCTAGCTCGGCCTCTTCCTCACGAGCCTTGGCCAAATCCGCTTGAAGGTCCTTTATAGTTTTGTCTTTTTAGCTGCAAAGAAGCTTCAGAGTGTTCCTATTCTCTGAGACCTTTTGGAGCTGGGTTTCACACTGGCTAAGGTCAGCTCAAAACTTGACGAAGGACTATACAAAAAAGGAAAACACAAGTCAGATTTAGAGAAAAAAAAGAGTAAAGAAAAGAAGTGCAGTAAACTGAATCTTACCCGAGATAAGAGACGTTGGGCCTCTTTTATAAGAATAGAAGCGTCACTGATATTAGAGGCATCATCGACTCCGGTAAAGCAATCCCGAAAGGGATCCCCTTCACTAGAGCCTCCGCCTATATCAGGGGTCTTTAACTCTCGAGCTTCCCTTAGTGCCTCCTCAGAAAAAGTCGGAAGAGAAGGCAAGTGACCTGCTGTCATGGCCCCGAGCAAGTCGCTCGGGACGCTCTGATCGATCTTCGGGGTCTCAGAACCAGCCCCGTCCGGTGTAGTCGCAGATGGCCGAGAAACGATCTCGACCTCTGGTAATTCGGGATCCTCACCCGATTTCTTTTTGGAAGCCTCCTCGACACGAGGCTTGATTTTAGCAGCCACCGTCGGCTCAGAAGGTTTGGTGATCTCGACGGCTTTCCTAGGTCGGACTGTCAGTGCCGAGGCATTTTTCTCTTCTTCCTCTTCTTCGTCTCTCAGTTTTTGAACCGAGTCCATCATGAGAGCGATTACTTTCCTCCTCACCCTTCGAGGTTTGGGCTTAGGGTCCTCGGACTGTGAGGCAGTTTTCCTCTTCTTGTCTTACCCGGCTTCGGAACCGGGGACTTGGTTTCTTCCTTGCCACTTGAAGGCCTCAAAATGGCATCCTTGGTCAGGCCTGCATGAAAGAAAATTAGTGATGAATGAAGTATAAAAAGTGTTTCAGAACATGAAAAAGGAGATCCTTACCGTGGTTCTTAGCCTCCCATCTACCCTTTGCCAAATCACGCCATGCATGTTCGGCATAAGTGGAAGTTAAGGCTAACTTCCGAACCCAATCTTCGAGGTCAGGTACTGCTTGAGGCATCCAAGGGATAACTGCATGTCGAAAGGGGATATCAGGCGAAGTCGAAGAAGGTACGAAGAACAAAGTTTAAAAGATCACTTACGGTCGAAGTTTCACTCCTCAGGGAACAACATCTTCTCTTCCGGGATAATGTCGCGGTTCCTCACCCGTATAAAACGGCTCATCCAACCCCGATCCTTGTCCTCGTCGATGCTCTATATCAAGGCCTTCGTTTCCCGATGTTGGAACCTGATTAGTCTTTAGTAGATTCGAGGTCGGTACAACCGCATGAGGTGATTTAGAGTAAACTCTAGCCACTCGGCCTTGCTAGATAAGAAGCACAACATGATTACTATGCGCCATAGAAAGGGGTGGATTTGGCCGAGGGTGACCTGATATCTTTTACAGAGAACAATAATCACTGGTTCGAGGGGATCCAATGTGAAGGGGTAAGTGTAAACACTTAGGAACCCCTCCACATAAGCGGAGATGCTCTCTCCGGGAGCAGGAATTTGCACCACGACCTCGGGAACCCAGTTGCAGTCCCTCTTCATGGCCTTGTGTTGGCTCTTAGAATGTCCGTCCTCGAGAACATTGAGTCCATGATCTCGGAATCGACCCTCACCCAGAGTAAGCTCGAGGAAACATTGCTGGTTGACCAACAGAAGACCGAAATAACGGAAGGCCGAAGTATCCGTAACCGGTCAGATATCACGGCAGGAATCTCGGCACGTATCAATAGGGAACTGGCAAATCAGCAAACCAGGAAATTTTTACCTTTTATAGAATTGTACCTAAAGTAAGACTCCCTTACTATATAAAGGGGGTCTGATTACTTGTAAAGGACATTATAACACACATCCCAAAGTAATATATTACTATTCTCGTCAAGTTCTTGTTACTCTCTTGTTGTTTTTGTTCTAATATCAATAAAAGCATTTTTGGCTCGAGGGTGTCAACCCTTCCAAGGCTAAGACTGTTCAACTTGTGTGGTTAGCATTTACTTTTTCATTACTTATTTCAATTGCAATCTGATTTGTCATTCAACGAGCACATGTACATCGACACATGCTCACATTGGCCCGGGATTGATGAAGGGTTTTCGACCTTAAAGTCAGATTTTAGAGTATACGGGCCGGGAACATATTCGTGGGGAAGCGGCTCTACCGGCGCCTTGCCGCTGGACTGCCGGGAAGAGGAGCAGGAAGCTTTCTCCTTCTGCGGTATAATTTTTGAGGTTTTCGCCATTTGTATAAGTAAAAAAGAGCAAATGAAGATGAAAAACTAGTGGTTTCGATGCTAACGAAGGTGGCTCTACAGATGCCGAAGAGGAGGAGAGGAGAAGAGTGAGAATACTTAGAGGTTTGATTAGAGTAAAAGTAAAGTTTGATTCTAGGAAGGAACGGGTATTTATAGGTTCACGGCGATGGTTCAGTGGCGTTAGTGGCCGATCGCTAACTGACATGCATTAATGATTTGGGGAACTGAACTGCTGGGACATTTCGATCACATCCGTCACTTACGTCATAAGGACGACGCCATGATCGAGGTTTCAGAAAATCAAGGCTCAAACCGTTTCTTATTATTATATTCCAAGAAACATGGGGACTATCTGTATACGGCCGAAATCGGGCATGTCAGATTTCATAGGCACGAGGAGCTACCTCAAGAGTAATTTCGTAATAGACCAGGCTCGAGCTCAATGGCAGAGTATGGAGCATGAAGTTCGAAGTGCTCGCTGAAGATTGAGACCAAGCATGACCGACTTCGAGTAAGGCATAATAACGGAATGGCGAAATATTAGCAACCGACCGAAGATCTCGGCAGAAATTCCGGAGCAGATCGAATCAAGCAGTTATTGACGCCAATCATGGGATTTGTTTCCGTTATTAGAATTGTGCCTTATTTAGGATTTCTCTACTATATAAAGAGGGACCCCATTCATTTGTAGGGGGATTGATTCACTGAAAAACATATACAAAAAATGTTGCTCTCTATTTCACTTACTATCTATTACTGTTCATCATTGTTTATTTTCTGTTCTTTATTGTTCTTCTTACCCAACCTCGAGATCATCCCGAATCGAGGTCGGAAGCACTGCCAAAACACTACTTTGATTTATTTTACTATTCAGATTATCTATTCAATTCCTTATTTATCAATTGGTATTGGATTAAATCACGTATTGTTAAAACCACTAAATAAGTTTAATTGTTACTCGAATTTTAGGATAAACAATGTTAAAGCACTATGTAGACAACTTTAATCTGATAGTTTGAAAACTTGAAAGTAGGAACACTGCTAACTGCTTTCTCTTTTAAGTTTTAGTAACTTGTATAGGGCCAGATGGTATTTTGGCATTTGTTATCCATTTTACGAAATTCGGGCATGGTTAAGCCCAGAAAAGCGCTCGTTAGTCGTTACAGAAGGAAACCTCCTTTTTTTATTGTTTCTTTTCATGGTTTCTCACGTGTCTTAGGATTTCATTTCACTTACCACTCACGTTAACATCGTTTTCATTATTTTTACATCCCATAGCTGTGAAGTGCTAGATGCAATCTGAAGCTAAGTTACTCGGACTTACCAATTTGAGTGTCATATCCGTGTCGATACGACACTGACACGGGTAAGGGTGTGGGATCTGGGTCGGATCCGGTCAAACGAGATCGGGTGTGTTGACCAAACTTTTGGAAAATTTTTTGAGAATTGATTTCCCTAAGTAAAGATTTGAAGAGATGAAAAACGAAATACCTTCCACTACACTGCTATGTAGTAATTTATACTAATCCTTTTGAAACTTTTTGTCTTGATCAATCTTCTTGTTCATGCTCCAGGATTCTGAAATTAAGAGCTATAATGTTTTTTTAGGGCAGAGAAGTTGAAGATGGGTGGTGGACTACTGGACTGAGCTTATTTGGAAGGCCCGGGTCTTGTTCTACTGGAAAAAAGCAGAAACATGGAAAAAAATTTGTTGGGGAAGAAGAAGAAGACAGCGATGCAGAGAATAAGGAAGAAGAAGACTTAGACCAGACAAAGAAGAAGACAGGAATGCAGAGAATAAGGAAAAAAAAAGACTTTAGACTAATTAGGAATTGACTACTTTATTACTAGTTGATATGTATATGTTTGCTAATATTCTGCCGAGATAGACATTACATATAATATGTCTTCAATAGTTTTTTGTTTATAAAAATTACAGTTTTAATTGTACCAAAAATAGTTATAGTTTTAATCAAAATAATAAATAATTATTTAATTGTAAACTAAATATAATTGTATATGCTTTAAAGACACATATTNGCATTTAATTGTAAACTAAATATAATTGTATATGCTTTAAAAACACATATTTTTATCTGAGTAAACTTCATATATATTAAATAAGTATATGCTCTAAATAAACAA